TACAAATTTATTGATGGGGATGAGCCACTTCGGCCTATTATAGATTTTAATTTGCTACGAGAGGTGCATAATAGCATTGAACCTAAGCTTACACGTAAAGAAATACTAGATACACTCAATTATGCCTTTAGAGATGTTTGTCTTGAAATATTCCCAAAGTAGGAAAAAAATACTATTACTGTTGCCAGTAGTACTGATGTGAAAAAAATATCTCTTCATATTTCTACTACTGGTATGAGGCTTAAGAATGTCACTCAAATCGCAGTATTTATTGAACTTGTTTGTAGGAAACTTCCAGCATCTCTTCAGAGAAATAGTATTATAGATAATATTGCGAATAAACGTTCATTTTTCTTGTGAATGCTTGGTTCGCCTAAGTATAATGAAAAAACAAAGGAGCATATTCGTGTAAAAAAAGCAATGCACCTCAAAGATGGAACCATTTTTGACTTTATGATTCGCCCGCCAAATGATGAATCAGAAATCACTGAAAGTTCTCTCTTAATTGTTCTGGAGCAAGAAATGGTGAGATGTCTTAGCATAAATAATATCACCACCAATACTGAATTTGAACTAGTAGGAACATTACTTCAAGAAGCTAATATCGAAGGGTATAGTCTTTCATATCCATCTGAAAATTTTCCTAACAAATTTCCACTATTATGTATTTCTCCATCACACTGCTCAATATGTGACCGAGAACATGATAGTGATAATGCTTATATAATATGAAATAAAAAATCATACAGCTTTTTCTGCTACTGTGCAAACCAAGATAGGCAACCTAGGTTCAGAAAGCCTTCGAAAAAACTTACTATTAGTGAAACTGCCTTAGATTAAGAACAAAAGCTTTCAAGTTCCGTAAAAGTAGACCGATCCAGAATTTCAGATCCCAACAATTACTTCACATGGGTGATTTAATTGATATGTGTGTATCTGGGTGAAAAATTTCTCGTAATGAGATTTATGATGCAATACAGACAACTGTTGCCTATATTCAAACAACATCAAGATTATGGGTACTTAAAACAAAAGATACAAATAGTAGACTATATTTTGATATGGCACCAAAACTAGATCTTGCCAAGTATAAAGTTAACTTAGTTGAGCTAGGTGGGAAGGAGATGAAGTTAATTAATTTAATAGATTGGGCAGTTATCAAGGATTTAATTCTTTATCACAATATTAATTTCTATTATATCCGCTGAATACTCCAGCTCTTAATATGAAGTTCTTTAACCTTTTCCTAGGATTTTTGGCTAAGCCAGCGATAGAAATTAACAAAGAAATTATAGAACCAATTCTCTGGCATGTAAAGAACATAATCTGTAGTGGGGATGAAAGACTTGACAAATATATTTGGAACTGGTAGGTATATTTAGTACAGAAGCCAGAGAAGAAGCCCCAAACTATCTTAGTATTAAAATCTACACTACAACAGTGCAGAAAAAATATTATCACTGATTTTATTGGTGACAAAGTATTGGGGTCACACCTCTATTTCGCAATGTTAGATTTAGAAAAAATTCTTGGATGCTTTAATAGAACTATTTAAGCTCGAAAGCTTATTGTTATAAATGAGACTGAGATGTTTAGTAGGGAATGGCATAGATTTAATGGGCATCTCAAATCACTTATAACAGAACGAATAGTAGCTATAGAGCATAAGAGTCTTGAAACTATACAAATAAATGATTATGCTAGGTATATAGTTATAAGTAACCAGGATGCTCCACTCAAAATAGACATAGGTGATTCTCGTATAGTTTGTTTTGATGTTTCTGCACGCTGTAGGGATAATATAGCATATTTTGACTGGCTAGAAGAAATTCTAGACTATTCTGATGCACTAGGAGTAGTAATGTTATACCTTCTTAACCGTAACTTATTAAATTGGAGTTTAGGAAAAATTCCTACAACTAAAATGAAGATAGAAACAATGCGAGAGCAACTTCCTAATCCTATTCGATTTATTATTAATTATATTGCATCTTGACCTAAAAATTGTATTAGCAGGTTTAGCTGTGAAAGGTATACCAGGATTATATTGAATAGTGTGGGTGTAATGGGGAAAAGCTATTAACTAGTAAGGTCGCTGGAAAGAAGTTTTCACAAATCGGCATTGATCGGGCACATTCACGAGATAATGGAGTAAGAGTATATCAGTATATTCTTGATCATTTAAAAATCATAGCCAAGTTCTGTGAATCTGGCTTAGATGATATCAAAGAATTTTCTGATATACCTTAAGACAACTTACCTGAAAATGGGACAGCAGACATACCCATATTCAATGTGCCAGAAATTATTTCTCCAAAAATAATCTCACCTCAGATAAAAAAGAATCTCTCTCCTAGTGATAAGAAAGTAGATAAACAGGACAATATAACCAAGCTCTTTTTGACTATATAGCAGGAGAAGCCGAAACACCAGTTGCTTCAACATCTGGGACTTCTAAAACTTCTAAGATGTCTAACCTACCTAAGCCAAAAATCATTGAGTGGTCTCAAAAGGACCAGCTCGAAACTAGCAAGCTTCCCAAACTTATTGAGCTTATAAGTAGAGTAGTGCCTAATACGGCTTCTAAAGAAAATGTTTTTTTCAAGCCTATCAATGAAGTATCATCTGCCATACTTATAAGCAGGGCCCAGCATGAAGAGCACCTCAGAAAATAGGCTATCAATCATGGTGAAAACCTAGACGTATTCGTAACCATCACAGAAAAAGATGTTAGATTGTCCCGGGAATATCGAGACAGAATGATGTCAGATGCGGATGCTATTGAATTTGCGAAAGAAGATAGTATAGACGTAAATAAGATATTTTATATATTCAGAAGAGAAAGGCTAATAAGTGAAGAAATATACCTCTGTAGCCTCGAGGATGCTGGAAAACTCTGGGCATATGTTTATGATAATGAGGAGTGACAAAAAGGTATTAGTGTACTCCAAGAGAATAGTTATCTATAGTAGGTTCGATATCGATGAGGAATGGCCAAAAAATATAAACATACTTCAGGAGAATAGTATGCTTTGGTAAAGAGCAAATTATTATTATTATTATTTTCGAATTAAAAAATAACTAGATTAATATATAACTAGATAACACTTATTATCAACATGGCTACTAAAACAGCTACTCCAAAGACTCGAAAACCTAAAGCTAATAACTTTGAATTGGTTTTAGAGCAGTTCCTAGAAAAGTATAATCTGATGGCCAACTCCACTCCAGAACAATTAAGCGAACATGCTCCCAAACTTGATGCTTTACTTCCTAATTGGATGGCCCGCAGGTGTGTTAAAGTCACCCTTGCCAGAGGCACTGATAATATATGCTCATTTAGTAAAGAGCAGATAGAGGCTCTCTTACCAGATAAGAGAAAGGGAAAACTTATCATAGAAAAAAGGGCAAAATATTGCACTAAAATCGGTGATGCTATAGACATTTTTGCCCATCATTTAGATTTAGATCCAAAAAATGATTATGAAAATGAAATAGTCACCAGTGGTTTACACTAGTCACAATTTCGTGTAAAATTAACAGAAGGCGGGGTAAGTCCTGAAATTATTAATATCTATGTCAAAGATCCAAAACTTATTCAAGAGTCAAATAAAATTCAGAAAAAGCAAACTAAGAAATGAATAGCTAATCCGGATAGAATTCTAATACATTTCTTGTTAGCGAGGGTGCTTAAAAGGATTCAGAATATAGATGTTTCTAAAATTCCATCTAGAGAAGATCTTGCAGATATAATTGTGATGTTGAGTATAGATCTGCAAAAATAAGATCTCTTCAAATTAATCACTATGAATCAGATCCTTTGAGTGTTCTAGTATGATATAAAAAAGGTTATTCTTGGTACTATATAGGCTATTTAAAAAGTAGAGGAGAAAAAAAAAGAATCTCAAGCCCTGACCATTTCTTTCTATAGAGAAGAACTCAGAACGTGCAAGAGAATTGCTTACCTGGATTCAAGATGCAATTAAGGCTAAAAAGTTATTTGACCTTGTCTTTATTAGAAATAGAACATGTAATGCTTGGCCATTTAACAAGTTCTTAAAACAAGAACCTTATAGAATCATACCTAAAAAATTAAGAGATTATAGAAGTAAACACATTTCCAAAATCCATGGTGGTAAGAAACCAACACCTCAACATCTTAAACTGCTTTCGAGAATCGCAATGAGGCAAGAATCAGACCGCCTTGATGCAGGTAATAATTATGCTATAGGTGATACAGAATCAGAAGAGTCTGACTCCGAACCAGAGACAAGCAACAGTTTAAACCTCCAAACACAGGCTTCTTCGTCATCTCAAACAATAGAAATGGATTCAATGTTAGCTGAAATTGATGCAATGTTAGCTGAAATTCAGAAATAAATACCATAAGGAGGGCTAGGAAGTGATCGCTTGTTTAGAGAACTTTCGCTAGGCTTCACGTATGTGAGACTTGAGTTATTCACCGTTTTCTTAATGCTATTCTTCTTTTTTCTCGCAAGCTTAAAAAAAGATATATAGTTAACTGTTTCAGAAACAAAAAATCTATAAAGTATATATTCCTTCTTTTCACTAATCATTTACAATAGCCAGTAAATCAATCAGTCCTTGGCTTATACTAAATAATTCATAAATAAATAGATTACCAAATCTGAAATTGTTTTTTTAATCTGCAAATTATGTTTGTTAGTCATGAGAAATAAATTATATAAATAAGCTAAGTATAAGAAATTTTGCTCTTGAATATAGCTACTAACCCCACGCCTCTAAATATCATATGTCTTGAAATACTTGCATTAAATGTTCTTAAAAATTTATCTCCAAAAAAAATTGCAAGTAATATTAATATACCTGAACTAGATCCATGTTCGTTATGCAACCAAGAACTTTTTTTATATGAAATAAAAAAACCAATTACTTTGCTTATCTGTAGCCACTTATATCATCGTAATTGTATCGAAAGTTCTATTAAAATTAGTCCAAAATGTCCGAAACCTGGTTGTATGAAGGAGATAGAATCTATGGTTGAAACGTCCAGAAGTCAGGATATCGATTTAATGGAAATATCACCTATGATATTTAAAAGCTCTCTGTTTACTCAGAATAATATATCAAAAAAGCGTACTAATAATCCCAAATTATTTCCAGATAAACCATCTAACAAAAAAGCAAAGAAGCTGATTAAAAAAGAATCGTATATATTAAGAGATCTTATAAATGAATTATCTACCGAACCTGAAACTTTACAAGTTTCTGTAATTAGAAAAGAAAATGCAGATAATTTTATCGATTTGTATAATAATATAACCTATGCAGAAACCCAAAATGAAATTACAAATCGGGATGTTATAACCTGCTATTATTTTCTCAGTAAAACACTTGAGGATAGGTATGATTACTATAAAAAAAGTAATCCTAAGTAAACGGCTCAGGCCTTAGTTAATAATAACATTAGAACAACTTCCAAACTCTGTTAGTGATGACTTACTTCGAAAGAAAAAAGAATGGGCTTTGAAGATTTATGATCTGTTTAGTGAAATTAGCATAGAAAAGATTCAAAGAGTTAAATCTCTTACGGTATCATCAATATCAAAATTAAGTCAGAATGAAATTAATTAAATATTGGTTAAATTTGCAAAATAAATAATTGAACATAGCTGCTGCACCAATTTTGTCATGGATGATTCTTGATTTTGATTAACTATGAGCGATGATCTCTTGATTTTGATTGGCTAAGAGTGATGATCAATAATTTAGGCCAATGTTACTTAAAATTTTACTAATGAAATCACAGCCGCACATTAAGTGAAAAATATTCCTGTGCTAATTTTATCATTATATGAACCTATTTCTCTAAAAATTTTCATTTTGGGAATGAAAAAGTTAAAAAGTTAATTCTGGCCAAAAATTATGTAAACAATTATGTAATGCGGACCAAAATTTTGTAGATCATAGCCGTTAGCCAATCAAAATCGAAAATCATCTGTGACAAAATTGGTGTGGCAGCTATGTCTAATAAATAAATATTTACTGCGCCAGTATTATGTGATGTTGTGAACTCAGTTCACAATCTATATCTGATATAATAAATTCCAGATATTATAAAATTACGGTATATTGTACATAAATATATATATATAATTATTTTAAGACACATTATAGGTTTGCATAATAAAAAATTTTTAGACATGTAATATTTTTTTCTGTTTATAACAAATGAAAAATCATAATAATACATATACAAATAAAAAAAGCTGGACTTAAGTCCAGAAAGTAGCATATCTTTAGAGGATGGAAACACAGGTGTAAGATTTGTGACGAATACAATCATCATTCACATCTATATTGTAAAACATGCAAAAAAGTAGCAAATGGAAATATATAGATGATATGAACGTGAAAACTTTTTAAAGGAAGAAGTAATAAGTGAAAGCTTCACTATTTCATAATAGTTTCAAGTTTCTAACTCATCTATTATATCCTCGAATAATTAAATAAAAATAATAAAAATAAATTTCCGTCACAAATAAACATGACTGTAATAATAGTTTAAGAATTCATGTAACCTTATTGTGACACCTCTTCAGAAATAAATAGTTTTTTAATTTTCCATATACTTGAATGACAATAAACAAAATTTTGCATGCGGAGACCGTGATTTATTAAAATATTTCTTTATGTTACAGCAAAATACAATATTGGTATTGTCATTTTATCATGTAACAATATGTAACCTGTTGTATGACAATCTGATTGTTCGTATAAACTATAAAAAGGTAGAATATACGACTATTTCTTACTAAAAAAATTTTTTTGTCATCCAAAAACTAAAAATATGTGAATATGTTTACTTCTACTGGAAAAACAATTTCACTTCCTACAATCAATGAAGTTGAAGGATATAAGACAACAAAGGCTTTGATAAAATTTTTAGGTGACCAAATATAGGACTGGATGATAATGATTTCAGAATTATTCGTGTATAAAAAATTAACAGCAAAATGTTCCTCAGACTGAACATGGATAAACTAATGGGAGTTGGTTTAAAACTTGAACCCACTGAAAACATCTCGAAATTAATTAAAAAAATCAAGGGCGAAGAACAGGGTAAGTAGTACTATAACTGCATTTGAATCTTCCAAACCTATACTGCTTTCTCCGCAATAATTTTATTTATTAACTAGTGTCTTATACATTTATTATTATTAAATAGCTACAATAGCGCCAAATTAGGAGGTGCAAGAATTGAAGGAAAGGTTAGCAATATTACAGACATCTAAGATTAGAGAGGAAGGTAGGTATCACGAATATCGCCAAAAATCTATTACTGTTTTTCTAATATAATAATAATTCTATTTTTAAGTTCCCATATATTTTCAGTACCTTGAATCAGATGTTATAAAAACTAGTACCAATGGTTGGGAAGATTTTATTGAGCTATATGACTGTTTTGAGAAAGCTTTCAGTCTTAAGGGTTCATTGACCAATTATAAGTTAGTTATTAGCAATAAAAACATAGATTTTAGCTGGTCAAAAAAGGATTTTGTCGATTTTATTGAAAAACACAAGTGTTCAGCAAAAAATCTAGTCAGAATATTTGGCGTAAAGAAAGGTACTGTTATAGAACCGTTTATTATTTTATTAGATTAATATTCCGATATTGTATAATTATTATTGTTATTATTTTA